GTCAGTTCAGTCGCTCAGTCATATCCGACTCTCTGCGACCCCATGGACTGTAGCACGCCAGGCTTCCCTGTCCATTACCTACTCTTAGAGCTTGCTCAAACTCATGTCCATCGAGTCGGTGATGCCATCCAACCATCTCACCCTCTGTCATCCCCTTCTCCTCTTTCCCCCCTTCAGTCTTTCCCAGCATCAGGGTGTTTTCCAGTGAGTCAGTTCTTCGCATCAGGTGGCCAAAGTGTTGGAGTTTCAGCTTCAGCATAAGTCCTTCCAATGAATATTCAGGACTGATCTCCTTTAGGATGGACTAGTTTGTTCTCCTTGCAGTCCAAGGGACTCTCAGGAGTCTTCTCCAACACCACAGTTCAAAAGCATCAATTCTTCGGTGCTTAGCTTTCTAGAAGTCCAGCTCTCACATCTATACATGACTACTGGAAAAACATAGCTTTGACTAGATAGACCTTTGTTGGCAAAGTAATGTCTCTGCTTTTTAATATGCTGCCTAAGTTGTCATAGCTTTTCTTCCAAGGAGAAAGCGTCTTTTAATTTCATGACTGCAGTCACCATCTGCCAAGATGCAGTGATTTTGGCGTCCAAAAAAATAAAGTCTTTCACTGTTTCCATTGTTTCCCCATCTATTTGCCATAAAGTGATGGGATCAGATGCCATGATCTTTGTTTTTTGAATGTCGAGTTTTAAGCCAACTTTTTCACTCTCCTCATTCAAAATATATGTTCTTATTTGTCCATAAGAAATATAATTTTTTTCTCTCCCTGCTATTGCTTTTCTTGACTCCTTCCCCTTTCATTTGATATGTCTTTAGTCTTCTGTAGAGGAAACTTTCTAGTGGGATAGAAACATATTTTAGATAGAAATACAAAAACATTATTTTGTGAAAAGGTAGATATTTATCATCACTGCACTGGTTTCTAGATTTCAGAAGTATTAATAAAGACGATGCTTGAGCCCATTCTTCTCCTAGCGGGTTTGAACTGGCTACTGTTCTGTTACTGAATGTTGACATCAGTCACCATCTTTGTCTTTTCTAATGAGACAATTTTAAAAGTCATGTGATCATAAAATTATTTTTAGCTTCTTGATCTTGATTTTATAAAAGTAAATTAAAGTTTGTACAGTATAAACTAGTTTAAATATTCTAATATCCTGAATTGATGTTTGTTTCATGACATGTTTGCCTTGTTTGCTGAGCAGTATATTAAGTTCATTTACAATAGATTGGTTTTTAAATTTCCTTTTGTATCCCATTTTGACTGGTAGTGCCAAGTCTCACTAATAAGAATAATAATAAATACTGAAACTTTTCTCAGCTCCACATATGAAAAACATGTAATTCTGTTGATGACATTCACAGAACTTAATATTTGCCTAAAGTCATAGGCAAGGATTGTTGAAGACATTGTATTTCACCTCTAAGTATTTCAATATGAATCTTCTAAAAACAGAACATTTTACTACATGTTCTATTAGTAGATAGATGCTACAATAACCATCATCACACATAAAAAATTAATAATTCCTTAATTTGTTTGTCTATATTAAAATGCTCCCAATGTCCCGTAAATGTTTTTATGAGTTTTTTCCCCCTAAGCTTATGTCTTTCCAAGATTCACACGTTGCATCGTGTTGTTACGTCTCTTTAGTCTTTGTCTCTCTCTTTTTTAGTCTAAATGCGTCTCTCCCCTTTTGGGAGATTATAAAAGGGTGATTTTTCAAATCTAATAATTCTTTCTGTTTCATTATTAACTGGCTTCTTTTTGGCAGAAATGAGGGAGAGGTAAAGAAAAACTCCCGTTTGACCAAATGCTAAATAGTTTAAATAATTTAATACGTAAACAAATGGATAGGTGCATTTAAGAGCTAATTGCAGAAACAGTACTTACATAAATCTTGTGCTTAAAGTGAAAGCTATGTTGTTTTAAGAAAAGCCTCCAAGAAAAGCAAAAGACTATACAAGACAGAAAATGTAAAGATGTCCAGATTCTCAATAAATAATATTTATATAGTTATAATGTTTTAAACATAGCTGACTTTCAGTCAACCTTGATGGCTTAAAATAGTTTAAAAATTAATATAATTGTTATCAACTTTGATGATAGAGTTTAGAAAGTAGAAAGTGACTTATACTATTGACTCCTGGCTGCTTGAATCAACCTTGAATTCCTGAATCAACTCCACTTGATTATGATTATTATCCTCATCTACTAGTGAAATTCCCTAAAATTTTGTTACCAGATGTAAGGAAAATATTTAGGATCTCTATTTTCACCTCATCATTTGAAAGTTTCTATTTTGTCATATGTTTTATAGTACATGGTATATCCAATAATCATAAAAGTTTAAAATATAGATACATGTATATAGGGGAGAATTATATACTTATTTTACTATTCTTAATTTAAAAATAGTTTCACCCCAATGGACATGTCAGTTTTGTTTTGTTTGTTTGTTTGTTTGTTTGTTTGGACATGTCAGTTTTGTTTTAAAAGTATGGTATATTTGAATGGTCTTGTAAACATTATCCTCAATTTTCATTAAAATAAAAATTTTGTGTGATATTCATTTTTAAATTTTTTTTTAAATTTTTCTCAGGGTTTTAATTGAGGGGTTTTTATACTTCAAAACTTTTGAATCTTTGTCACAACTTAAGTTTTTGAATCATTGTCACAGCTTAATTGTAAGTTTTAATTTGTATTTCAGAAAAGGTTGAAACTAATTCTCAAAGTAGATGGGTCAGCAGTATTAGCTTAAAAGGAAATAAGCTTTTAATAAGAAAGGAGATGAAATAAATAGTGTCTTAAGCTCTGTACCCTGTGTATGAAATTAAGAGCATTTACTAATAATCAGTATAAAAGTTGGGGGGAGAAGGAAGTAATTTAGTATTTGCCCTTATTAATTATTCCTACTAAAAACCTTTTTTCCATCTGGAATGTTTACTTCAGGGATCATTTGAAATAAGAAAAGCAAAGGAAATAATATGATTGGTAAGGAGAAAATAAATTAAGAAACTGAATTGTGCAGAAGTCTGTATTAGACTCAGTTCCCTTCTCAACCCCACCATCCCCCCATCTCCATCCCACTTTAGGAACAAAGAGTAGATCACAAAAAAGCGCATTCTAAATGTTAATTTTTAAAATTTACAATTCTCAGACTCATACAGTTTAGCGTTTTTTTTACCCATTTGCCATGTTAGCTTTTTGAAAGTAGAAGAATTTGCATTCTTTTTTAAGCTTTGATACTCTGTATATTAAGAATACATATAGGTTCATGGATTTGAGAGAAAGTTTTCTTTAGGGCTTTTATTAACTGAAAAACGCTTTTAACATTATAAGGTGATTATTTACTATATCATGAGGCAAGAATTGGACCAATGTTTTTGGAGGTTTAAACAGAAATAATGTTTTATGGATGGATTGTTTTGGTAGATTTTTTGGTAAACTTTTAGGTAGTCAAAAACTTGACTACATTTCCCATTTCTTGAACATATTATTAATATTGGTAAGATTTTCCTTAATATAAAAATAACTTTACAATATCAATTACCACCCATATTAAAGAACAACTTTCAATAACATCATTAGGCCAGCATCATTAAGTAGGAGAATTGAATTTCTGGCTTTTAAGTGGGATTTATCAATTAAAGCACTACAGACAGTGATATATGTACATATTAGCAGATTATTTGGCAGAGTCCTTCATGAGATAGTTTGAAGAATAGGCATGGCCTGAATAATAGTACAATTAGACTGATTTATAATCTAGCTTAATAAACACAGATTAAATTCTTGTCATCTAGAGGGTTGTGGTCTCTCCATTTTTTAAATAAGTGATTCAAATGAGAACAGATAGCATATGTTGTTTTTTTAATTAATAGATGATATGAGTCTGAGATACATACTCCTAATAAATAGGATGGTATTTCTTTAGAAAACAGAATGATCTTGATGAGTTAGAATGGGATATTTCACAAGATAACTCTTAATAAAACATGAGCATAAACTCCCCCCCCCCAGAAAAATTTAACAATATACTATAAAAAAATGGAAGTTCCCAGGCACATCTTAATAGATATTAATAGAAGATGATTCCCATTTCAAAAAAGCAAGATTCAGGATTATATTCATAATGGCATCTCAACTTTGTGTGTGTGTGTGTGTGTGTGTGAGAAAGTACAAAATACAGCAGTTCTAGATTAGGAATGATTTTCTTTTCATTTTGCCTTATTTTCACATTTTCTGCAGCAAGCATGCATCTTTCCTAACATATGTAAGATAAGGTGTTTCATGTTTTCAGTGGCCCAGATGTGCAGTCTAAGCATCAGTCAGTTCAGTTCAGTCGCTCAGTCATGTCTGACTCTTTGGAACCCCATGAATCGCAGCACATCAGGCCTCCCTGTCCATCACAAACTCCCGGATTTTACTCAAACTCATGTCCATCGAGTCGGTGATGCCATCCAGCCATCTCATCCTCTGTCATCCCCTTCTCTTCCTGCCCCCAATCCCTCCCAGCATCAGGGTCTTTTCCAATGAATCAACTCTTCGCATGAGGTGGCCAAAGTATTAGAGTTTCAGCCTTAGCATCAGTCCCTCCAACGCACACCCAGGACTGATCTCCTTTAGGATGGACTGGTTGGATCTCCTTGCAGTCCAAGGGACTCTCAAGAGTCTTCTCCAACACCACAGTTCAAAAGCATCAATTTTTCGGCTCTCAGCTTTCTTCACAGTCCAACTCTCGCATCCATACATGACCACTGGAAAAACCATAGCCTTAACTAGACGGACCTTTGTTGGCAAACTGATGTCTCTGCTTTTTAATATGCTGTCTATAGGTTAGTTTATATTGTCACAATAGAGATTTCCTACTTTTATCGGTCTGTAATCACCGCGGCGTAAAGCACGAGCTGTAGTGCCCTGTGTGTTCGTGTTTTCTCACTCCACTACCGTGAACCCACTGAATCTGTTTCCTTTTTTTTCTCTTTATCAAAGGTTGAATTAATAAAGGGGAATTTACAAAGTGTTGGACTTACACTTCGTCTGGTCCAGTCAACTGACGGCTATGCTGGGCACGTCATAATTGAGACTGTGGCCCCAAATTCGCCTGCTGCAATTGCTAACCTTCAGCGGGGAGATCGACTGATTGCTATTGGAGGTAATTATGCTGCTGTGCAGTATACTTGACATTTACCAAGAAAACCAGAGAATAGATGTGGGGCTTTTTTCCTCTTCCTTGTTTCTATAAGCACATTACTTTTATAATGGAAAAAAAAAATTAAGTAAAAATCTGAAGGAAGCCTTAAAAAATTTGAAACAGGTATCATTTTAGTTCTAATATATAAATCTTTAAAATACTTCCTCTTTAGACCATTTTCCTCCTTTTACTTCTGTATTTTTTCCTGAATATGAAAGGGCAGGTCAACAGTTATCTTTCTTTATGATCACCACTATTACTACTCTGAGCCTAAAACTGGCGGAGTTAGCACTAGTACCCCCATCACTTAGGACTAGATACTGAACAGGAGAGAGATTCCTTGTCTAACTGGGCACACCTGATCCATCCTGTGGCCCCCATATTGGTGGCCCATATTGTTCCTTATTGGCCAGCCATTTGTTGATGCGCTCTGTCATTCAGAGTGCAGCCCAGCTCACTGTCACTGGTGGGAAAATGTGTCACCGGCATGCCTTCCTGTCAGTTCATTAATAAAACTGCAGATCTGTCGATTGGCAGATTATTTCCTTGTATGTGTGTAAATTATCAATAGGCTACCTGTGACACCAGTGGGGAAAAGTCTAAGCCTTTGCAGATCTTTGTAGTACCTGGCCCACCCATTCTAGACTTGTCAAGAGATTTCTTAAACACATGGTTGGTTACACTTGAGCTTTTAAAGGCAATGTGGAATATTCTGTCACAACTAAGACAATAAATAACCAGGTAGGTTAGTTCCTAAATTGAGGAGCAGTTGTCCTTGGTTATATGTCGAGGAAACTCTGTCTTTATTTTAATTCATAGCCATCATGACAATAAAATAATGAAAAAATTTGAAGTTTCAAAATATTGAAAAATGAGAGTTTGAAAATTTTGAAACAGTGCTTTTCAAAGTCTCTTGTGTATTCCAGTCACCCAGGCATGGTGTTAAAATGTGGGTTCTGATTTAGTAGATCTGGGGTGGCGCTCCAGGTTCTACATTTCTAACAAGCTCCCAGATGATGACTCTGGTCCACAAACACCTAGGATAATAAAGCTATAAAATAGACCTCATCTGTTAAATAGTTATTTAACATAAACATAGCAGTTATCCCTCAGCTAAAAATCACAGTTCAGTATAATTTTTTATATTTATACATACCCTGTTTTGATTTTACCTACAGCATAAAATTTTCCTTTTTAGACCCTTTTACAGGAAATTTTTGTTTTCAGTTACACAAGTCATAATGGGGTGAAAAAACAAAAGTCACCTCTTCGTGTCTAACATTTGTTAAAAATTATAATATTGAGATAAGGGACAGGTATAATACACATTCTTTTTTCTTTAAATCACTGTACTTTATTTATGCAGGTATGTATCATTTAAAAAATTTTTAGTAACAGGATTGGTGATAGTTGAAATAAGACTGACAAAATGTTATATTTATGCTCAATGATGGAGTTCATTTTACTGTTTCCTCTGCTCTTGTATATATTTGAAATATTTCAAAAGGAAAATAATCCAGGTTTGGCTGGCCGGTTCCAAAGGATGAGTTTAGATTGATATGAAGTTTTACCTACCTCAGATCATCAGATGGACTTATTTTTTATATCAGACTACAGTTTTGCTGGAACATAGTGTGGTTAGAGGGAAGCAGTAGAGCTTAAGGCTGGATGAATCATGAAGTCATGTTAGCTCTCAATTGCAATATGATTGAGTTTATTTGCTAAAGGGTTTTGAACCAATGTTTTAGGAAAGTTGGGAAGCAGCATATGTATGGTGATTAAAATAAGGAAGCTCTAAGTGAGGGATCATAGTAAAAAGCTGTTTATTACTGTAGTTGAAACAAGTGATCAGGAAGATCTGAGCCAGGAAGGAAAATGGAAAACTCTTTTGTTCACAGCAGAATGAATCTCAAGAGTCCACCATCTCCACGATTCAAATCAGGTTAACTGGGAGGGCAGCAAATTGATTCATGTACTAGTGAGGACAGCAAGATGAGAATGTCAAAGAGAAGCTTTTATTTTATCAACAAAACATCCAGGTGTTGATGTCCAGAAGCCTTTGGGAATGTATGACTAGATTGAAGAAGAGAGGTCGCCACCCAAAGAAAAAGTTGATGGTTGAAACTACTGAATGGGTGTAATCTAGGGAAAGAACAAAAAGGTCGAGGAAACCAGTGACAAAACCATGGGAACGTTTGCATACAAGGGACCGATAGAGGTGGGGGGGAAGAAAGTAAAGGAGAGGTGATCAGAGCTACTACAGCGTTGTAAAGACCAAGGCAAAGAAGGACGGGAATAAACATTTCAGCAAGAATAACTGACAGAGCAAAGTCCTGAAGGAAATGGGGAACAGAATCAAGAGTAAGGTGAAGGATGGCTTCCTCCTCTCAGACAGCTCAGTCTGGAAAATGATTGGCAGGGAGAAAAGGCAGCCGTTTGTTGGTCTTTTCATAACTCGAGTGATGTCATCTATAGAAGAAAAGAGCGGGAACGGTCGGCTTCAGGGGAGTAAGAGAGGTTTGAAGCTGGTGTTTGGAGACTTAGTTATTTAGACACCAATTCAAAGAATGCTACAGCAGCACTGAAAGGCACGCTGGAGACAGATGGCATAACTCGGTGCCGTCTCCAGGTAGGAAGCTCAGCATCAGGAAAGGGCGGGGAAGGGGCTAGCCCAGCTGGGGATCATCGGGACAGCAGATGGTAGAAGAGGAGAGGACTGGAGCAGAAGCAGAGAAAAGCTTGATGTGAACACCATTATGGTGAAGAGGAGAGGGCTAGGGCAAAAGCATAAAAATGTTTAATGTGAACACCATTAAGGTCATGAGACTGAGCCTGGGGAGGGAAGCAAGTGGACCAGCTGGACCATGAGAGCAAAAGGAGTAATGACCGGACATGGACACTACCTCAAAACAGATTCAGTTAGCAGACAGGTGGAAATAGGAGACTGTGGTCAGAAGTTCATTCCAAGTAGAAGATCTTTGATGTGGAAAAGTTCCAAGTAATGACCAGATCTAGAGCATGCTCTTGCCTGGGCAGCTGAAGTTGGAGAATATAGAGGTTGGGGAACTCTGAAGTCAGGTTATTAGATGGGGCTGATACTATTTTGATTTATGAGGATGGCTGTAGGATCTTTGGAAAGCCAAGACTCCTCCTCGCCTTTCTCTTAAGTCCTATAGAAGGGGATTGCTTAGGTAAGTACCGTTTGAGGGAAGGCAGGGAGACCTTTTAAAGTTACACCTGGAATGTCCCTAGAAGAATGCATCAGAAGCTGCTAGCTTTGATTACCTCAGGGAAGGGAGACTTTCCACTGTGCATTTTTCTGTGCCTTTTGAATTTTGAATTAATATAGCACCTATCAGAAAATAGAATGAAAACTTAAGATAGGTATTATTGAATTACAGATACAGGTAATAAACAACTTGGTTAACTTTAAAGCCCTCCTATCCCTTCTTTATTCTTTCTCATCCTGAAAAAATTCATTTCATGTGTACGGCTAATAGAATCTGTAAGCGTCCACTATTCACAGCATAGTCTTTTGCTAAGTTTAGTTCAAGCACCGGTCTGTTAATTTGAATCATTCATCACCTAGCTTATAATCCCTGAAGCGCTATAGAATTTCCTTCAGTAGAATCAGTTTCCCATCATTTTTAAGCCTGGTTTAACCATTAATAAAATCCTTTTCAGTAGGTTTCACTCAGTTCACTTCATTCAAACTGAGAAAAAATGTCATTTAAACCTAGGAAGGAATGGAAAGCAGCTAGGAGTTAGCAGCTTGACACCCTCCTGAGATTTTCATGGCATAATTTGGTTTGGAAAGGTAAACATTTCCAGGACATTGGAGCAGTCAGAGTTTAGGAATCAGTACACTGATGTATCCATAAGCCCATAACATATTTTAGAGTTTTCACTATTGCTTTTCTATTAGTTCAATGATCATGAATTAATGGCAATTATACTTAGTGAATTTAGGTATAATTTTTACTGCAGTAATTTTATGTTTTCCCTTTTAAAATCTTAAAACAGGTGTGAAAATCACATCTACACTGCAGGTGCTGAAGCTCATCAAGCAGGCTGGTGACCGAGTGCTGGTGTATTATGAGAGGCCTGTTGGCCAGAGTAATCAGGGTACAGTGCTGCAAGATAACTTTGGACAGTTAGAAGAAAACTTTCTGTCAGGCTCATGCCAACCGAACTTTGAAGAGGAAGCAACTGGGTTGGCAGTAGATGCTGAAAATAGAGACCTGGATTCTGAATTTGAAGACTTAGCAAGTGATGTCAGAGCCCAAACTGAAGCCAGAGAGGAGGCACAGTCACTAAGTCACAGCCCCAAACGTACTCCAACAACACTTTCTGTTAAACCCCTTGGAACTATATCACCTGTTTTAAACCGTAAATTAGTTGTAGGAAGTTACCCACCACCACCAAAACTTCCATCCAAAGAAGGAAATAAGCCCTTAGCCCTAAAATCTTCTGAGATAACAGAACCAGCACAAGTGTCAAAACCTACCCAAGGATCCACGTTCAAACCACCTGTGCCACCACGCCCACAAGTCAAAGTTCCTTTGCCTTCTGCTGATGCCCCGACACAGGCTGAACTAGATATTTCTGTTGAAAAGCCAGAGAAGGTGCTGCCACCGCCTCCTGCAGATAAACCTGCTGAAAAGCAAGTGAAGAATCTGGATCACGTAGAAGAAGCAGCTGCAGCTAAGCAGTTTTTAGCCAAGCAAGAAGTGGCAAAAGATCTGACTTCTGAAAGCGCCTGCCCACCTAAGGACAATTCAGATGACCATCAAACGTGGGAATCATCAGAAATTCCTTATCGCAAGAAGCTGGGAAAATGGACAAGAACCAGAGCCAGCTGTTTCTTTGACATAGAAGCCTGCCACAGGTACTTAAACATTGCGCTGTGGTGCAGGGACCCTTTCAAACTAGGGGGTCTCATCTGCTTGGGGCACGTGAGCTTGAAACTTGAAGAGGTGGCGTTAGGATGCTTAGCTACTTCGAACATGGAGTACCTTTCCAAGTTTAGACTGGAAGCCCCATCACCTAAGGCCATGGTCACGAGAACCGCACTACGAAATCTGAGTATGCAGAAGGGGTTCAATGACAAATTCTGCTACGGTGACATTACTGTTCACTTCAAATATTTGAAAGATGGAGAGCCAGACCACGTAGTTACTAACTTAGAAAAAGAAAAAGAACTCCATTTGGTTGAAGAGGTTTCTGCTCTGCCTAAAGAGGAGCATTTTGTTGGACAAATGGGTTTAACAGAAAATAAACACAGTTTCCAGGACACTCAGTTCCAGAACCCGACTTGGTGTGATTACTGTAAGAAGAAAGTTTGGACTAAAGCTGCTTCCCAGTGTATGTTCTGTGCTTATGTCTGTCATAAAAAATGTCAGGAAAAGTGTCTAGCCGAGACTCCTCTTTGTGGAGCGATGGATCAGCGGATAGATCGGGCCCTGAAAAATCTCAGGCTGGAAGGACAGGAAACCCTCTTAGGCCTGCCCCCTCGTGTTGATGCTGAAGCTGGGAAGTCAGTCAACAGAACAACAGGTTTGACGAGACATATTATCAATACGAGCTCTCGTTTGTTAAACCTGCGTCAGGTCTCCAAAACTCGCCTGTCTGAGCCAGGAACTGATCTAGTAGAACCTTCACCAAAACACACACCCAACACATCAGACAATGAAGGCAGTGACACAGAGGTCTGTGGTTCGAACAGCCCTTCTAAACGAGGCAACAGTGCAGGAATAAAGTTAGTGAGAAAGGAGGGTGGTTTGGATGATAGCGTTTTCATTGCCGTTAAAGAGATCGGTCGTGATCTGTACAGGGGCTTACCTACGGAGGAGAGGATTCAGAAACTAGAGTTCATGCTAGATAAACTACAGAATGAAATTGATCAGGAGTTGGAACATAATAATTCCCTTGTTAGAGAAGAAAAAGAGACAACTGATGCAAGGAAAAAGTCCCTTCTTTCTGCTGCTTTGGCTAAATCTGGTGAAAGACTACAAGCTCTGACACTTCTCATGATCCACTACAGAGCAGGCATTGAAGATATTGAGTCTTTAGAAAGTCTGTCTTTAGATCAGCACTCCAAGAAAATCAGCAAGTACACAGATGACGCAGAAGAAGACCTCGACAGTGAAATAACCCAACTCATAGACTCTCAGCCATTCAGTAGCATATCAGATGACTTATTTGGCCCATCTGAGTCTGTGTAACAGTCCATATTTAAACTTTCAAGTGCTTGAGGAAAAGTTGCATCTAAAGTACCACAGATACAACCACATTTAAACCCTCTTATTATGCACTTTGGCCTGCTTCTTTACAGTTACTTGCTTGTGTGAGAACTAGAGTGGGAAGAGGTGGTTTTCCAGCAAAAACATGACCAGCCCACTAAATTGGTTGTTTCAGATTGCATTTATAGCTATGCTTTTTTGGGTTTATACTGGGAATTTATTTTTACTAATTTATTTTTAACTTTTTCTAATTATGTAATTATGTAAGCTAACTTTTTGTGTTTATGTATGTGTGATGTCTCATTGTGTTTTTTCCCCCTCCTCTTCCTAGTTTTTGAATTAATGTTAAATAGCATACTGTCCAGATTCTTGAAATATTTTCACTTCCATCACGGTTGTAACAACAAATTTGTTGCATGCCCAACTTGACAACAGCAATCATTGAGGGAACAGTTTTTGAATCTTACTTTGTGTTATTAAGTTTGTCATTTCTACTTGCTTGAGATTTTTGTTATTTTGGGGTCTGTGGGTGATGCTTTCTGTTTTGATTTTGCCAAATGTAATATGAAAGCAGATGCTGCAGCTTTAGTTAGTTATGCTGATTTAGTAAAAAAAAAAGAAAAAAGATTACATATATTGCTTGTTTTTTATGCTTCTGTGAACTTTTTTTCTAAAGCTTCTGTGCAGTTTAAGTATAGTAAGAATATAGTGATTAATTTGAAGAGCTTGCATTGAAAAACAAAATGTAATAGGGAATAAATATAGAATGCAGTTGGTTAAGAATTTTGAGAGGATAACAAGATTGCTAAAAAAAAAAATAACCATAGGATTTTGAAATAGAATCTTTCAAAATATTGATATTTTCCTTTCAAATGGAAGTTTTAAACATTTATGATTATTTTTCAGCTTCAGTTCTCCCATAGGAAATAAAGCATGTGCAAGGATATTTGAAGTTTCAGAGGACTGTTCTTAAAATGACCTTGTTGATATCTGGTTTGGCTGTTTTGTTTTAGAAATTTTTTCATGCATGAGAATGTTGTGAACAGAAGGAATCATGCAAAATACATTATTGTTTCACCTGACATCTGCAGACTTAAAGGAATGATCATTCTGAATGCTTCTATAGTTCAGACTGTCTTTTATTCATTAAAAAAAAAAAATAGCATAGATACCTAGGAATTGGGACCAGGTGTCTTTAAAGGAAGGTCTACTGTAATAGTTCTCTGTGTGGATCCTCAGTAACACATGACTGAGGGAAAACGTGTGAGTATGACCTTTGTTGGTATACCATAAAAGTTTTGGCCTTTTATATGTCTATAAAAGATATGTACATGTTTTTCCCTTTCGTAGGTGGCTACTATGATAATTGCTATATAGTGAAACTGACATGAATTTAAAACTAGATAGCACAGCTTTTATAACTGGCCGGAAAAGGCATCGTATAATAGTAAGGATTCTGGCCCAGGTCCATAAGCTAGGATTCCATACAAGAGTTTAAGTTGAAGCTTTTCCGTTGGCCATTAGCAAACTGTGTAACCATAAGCAAGCCACAAAAGGGCTCCATGCTGCAGTCTCCCCAGCTCTAAAGTAGGAATAAACCAAAACTTCCTCTTAACTACCTCACAGAATTGTTGTGAGGATAACAGCATAACTGTGGAAGTTCTCTGGATAGTAAAAAGCTGTTCAAATAAAAGGGATGATTTACATGGATGGTAAAACATTTTTATGGGTAGAAAAGCTATTCCAGTTTTAGAATCAATAGCCAGTTCTCATTCTTGCTGTTTTATTATCAAGTAAAATATAAGGAAACCAAATACCTTTCTTGGCCAAGTTTATAACAAAAATATATCTCTGTATGCCCCCCCTTTTTTGTTTAAGCATGCTTGCATTTTAAAAGAACACTGCTATAGAAGTCTATATACACCAAATTCACTGAAAGCTAAAATATTGTTCTGTAAACAATAGCTTAAAGTAATCTTCCCAGTGTGATCACAGACTTTCATCTTACCATAAAAAAAATCACTTACCACTAACAACCTGGAAGGCAGAGTAAGTGACTGGTGGTTTTGGATTATACCATGGAAGTTTTAGTGACATCCAAGCATGCTGCTGAAATGCATGCATTTGCAACAGCTGTAGAAATAATGCAAAACTTTGCTTTCATAAAAATCTGCTCATGTTTTTAAAGTATCTAACTCTGTAGAACCACAATTATGGAAAGCTCAGAAATGCTGCTAATGATAATTGTAAAATATACTTTCAGTGTAGTGTGATATTTTTCTATTTATTGGTGAGAGGCAATAGAGGCATCACAGTTGTACTTTCGGGCAAGGGAGGGGGAACCCTCCCAGCCACCTAGGGAATAGTAAGGTCTAAAGCTTCAATGAAAACAGTTGTATTATATCACATTCCTGATGTAATCTTTCTGCCATGCTATGTTATCAATAGCTTAAAAATGATAATAAATAAAAACTACCAAGAAAACAAGAATATCTTCATTTAACAACATCTGAAAAAAAGTGATTACTGCATCTCTGTGGAATTATTGCCTGTATAATTGGGCCGTGAAAACAAGCTTAACAAAGTCCACTTTTGCTAAACAAAATTGCTATTCTGAAAATTGTCTAAAAGCATTAAATTTGGTTTTACTCTCTTTTTATGCTTTGAGATATCAGATTTATCTATTTGCCTCTGCTATCTAGGAGTAACAAGACTATTTAAAGTGTATTTTCCACATATCAGTATTCAGATGAATGTTTAGACAGTCAAGTTGAGCAACGTTTTAGCATTATTTTAAAATAAATTCATGAAAAAAATAAGTTCACATGCTACATTTCTTAATGTAGCCTTACATTCTTCAGTATCAGAGCTAGTTAAAATATTCTGTGGCCATTTGTGATTTTGAGAGGAAAAAACACAGTAGTAAAAATGTGAGGGTTACTATCAATTCTAAATTTAAGTATATTTAAATTTTTTGAAAGGCAGTTTGAAGATATTTGGCTCTTACTAATAGTAAGATAATAAAATCTTAAGTCCCCGTAAAAGTGAATAACTTCAAAATCACTTTAATTTTAAAATACATTGAGTTTATTTCTAAACTGAGAGATAATAGCTTTTCTTTAAAATGGGATTGGGGGAGGTTCCCTTAAACGTTTTTAAGCTGTGGATCTACTTTAAGATCTGTTTAAAACCATGGATTCTCACCCCTGAAAGATGCACACAAGCATATCCTAGACTTTATGGTACTTCCATGGCCATGGATCTACTGTGTCAAGTGGCTGCATATCCTAGTTACTTTTATCAACTATAGTTATTTGTTCATAGCAATCAGGAAAGCAGTACAGCTTTAAAGATGCAAGGTTAACTTACTGGTTGATTCCACATTGACACCATGTGGGTAGTTACATATTTCAATTTAAAACATTTTGCAAAGCCAGAAAACATGGTTCAAACTAGTCTGGAGTAGATTTTACCTGATGCCTGCAAGCAAAAAAGAATAGTTTTTAATTGAATATCCACAGTTAATATGTTCTCACATATTTTATTCTGATGATATTATCTGGTTAACAAAGGAAAACAACAGGCACAGTAGTGTTCAGAAGATTTATTAGGTAAACTAGCTAAAACAATGTAGGTGGATACACTTAGCAGTCAAAAGAAAGAACTGAGTATTCATTGCTACCTCATTAAATTTTTTGTATATGTTTTGCTAGGTACAAGCATAAAAACCACCTCTGCTCAAAAAATAAACAGTTCAGAGAGCTGTGTGTTGTTTGTTCTGATACACACATTTAAAAACAGCCCCTCTTTTCATAGATTTACCCACCCCAGAATATTATTCATATGAAAGACCTTTCAGGTTTTTTCCTCATCAGATACAGTTTTTCCCCTTCTGCTCTCAAAACATGTCTGAAAAACATTTCTCTTTTATATGATCTTTAGGGATCACCAGCAGACATGGCTGCCAGTCATTCTTGAAGAGACTGAAGCCTTACAGGCAAAAATTTTAAAAGCTATATGGAGAACTACAAACCCTCCAAGAGAACTGATTTGTAGTACATTGTTTTTTAAGGGTCTCCCCTAAAGAAGTAGAGAACAATCCCGTTTTTTTACTTCAGCCATAGAAGCACCTCCAGCAAACCAGAGGCCTTGTGTGAGTCGCCCAATGCAAATACATGAGTAGGAAGCCAGTTTGCTTCCAACACATGCACTTAAAAAACCAGACTTCACACAAAAAAGCTTCATGAAGAAAATGGAAAGGAAATATTAGCTACTTTCTTAGGGAAGTAAAAGGTAGAGTCTTTCCAAGTTAACAAATAATTTTAGCTTAACAAAGATACTGACATTAGGTAGTTTTTGCTTACTATTACAGAACTACAGAATGAACAAGTGTTTTTAAGACATTCCACACTATCTTCATATCATACAAAACGATGTAAACGGACAGTGTTCACTAACAGTACTTATATCGAAAAGGCACAGCAACATTATCATGCTCAGAAAAACTACATCACACAGCGCTAGGTGATACAGTATTACATAGACATTTTTAGATGTTTGGGATTTTTCCTGCATGTGAAAGGGAGTGTGCCCTGACCACCCTATTATTTTTACCTGTTTTCCTAACACAATTCAAGACAAGTTTTATTCCTCCATCTTCATCTAAAATAATAGTATCAAAAAAAATTAACATCCCTAGAAAACACTTGACTTCCAGGTAAAAGAAAATTATAGTCTGATTTTTTTTTTTCACATCATAGCAGCTATTAGCTTTTTAAATTTCTTTTCTAATTGATATATCTCATTATGCTTAAACAATCCTAATAGTATAAGGTGTTTCTATTCTCAATCTTTTGTCATCCAGTAAGACAAGTATGTATCTGAAAGGGAAAGCTTCTAGTTGTTCATAACTATATATTTGGGTGCTTTTCTCTGCTTTCAGAATATTCACTGTTTTACTCTTATATGGCTTTAATGTTTGCTGCCAGCCACAAGACATGTAAACATATAATTTACAACCATCCGCTTCCAGGTAGGTAATTAAATAGAAAACTAATGCCAGCTGAGATTCATGGATTAAATCTGAAAGATAACTGACTCAAGTTCTTCTGCATTTGAGATAACTAGCTTTTACCTCATGAATATATTGATAGTACAGTTGACCCCTGAACAACATGATTTGAACTGCACGGGTCCACTTATAATGCAGAGTTTTTCCAACAAATACAGACTGCAGTACTATGTGGCCCGTGGTAGGATGAATCCATAGACATGAAATCACGGAAACGAAGGGCTGATTGTTTTCGGCTGTGTGGGGTGTTGGCATTCCCAAACCCTGTGTTGTTCCAGGTCAACTGTAATTCCAAGTTCAGTAACATTCAGTGTCACTACATAATATATGCCGTCTTACTTGACTCTGTTTTTCAGACTTCCTTCTAGTTTCTCATTGTTGGAAGTGTCTCGGAGATAATGTGTGCTTTAAACACTCATTACCAATATTCAGAAAAAAATATAAGACTTTTTTTTGCCCAGGTGTTTGTGAATGTAAGTTAAAAAATTATATTTGATTTGGATTCAAATATTTATAGATTTACACTATATTTCGTCAAAATATATTGTATAATATTTAATAAAATCAAATACATAAAATAAAGTTTTCAACACTATTTATACAAACCCCTAGAAAAGCTGCTTTTTCTTTATAAGGCCGTTGGCAATCGATCATAACCGTGGAAAAGAAAGAACCTTTGGTTGTATGACTTTCACCAGGGATGAGTGGTATGACTAAGACAGTTCTGGATGAGTCATTTCACTGGAAACACTGTTTTATACAATTAGGTACTTGGAGGACTTTTGAGGGTCTCAGTCACTTTCAGATTCTTCATCCTCACCTATTGGATACGACTGGCTGCTATTCTGAGTGTACATTTTTGTTTTAATGGGGCAGTTGTGATCCATGAGGATAGCCTAAAAGAGAGCAGAGTGCAGATATATTAACTCACTGGTTCATAAAGAGAAGACAGAAACTGGTTAAGACTAAGGATTAGTAGTTTGAAAACTACCTACAGTACCACCCAATATTAACCAACCAGTAATCTGGTGCAACTGCCAGGTGCCTGGCCTGGAAGACCTGGAGTTCTAAAGAGTGAAAATTCCAGGCAATAGGAGGCAGCAGAAGCAGTTTCTGCAGTGTTCCTATTATATCTGCCAGGGACCCTAAGTCAATTTGGAGGAACCTATAAGCTATGAAAAAAGGGGTATGCAGGTTAGGTTTAGTTTATACTTAGGGTGGGGGGATCCTCCTTAGTAAGGCCACAGGTACGGCCCCTTTGGTTTCCCTGGATTAAGCATCACAGGGCCCTTACCTTTCTAAATATGGCATCTCGGAAGGACGTCTTCCCAAGTCCTGGCTGGCCTCTTCTTGCTCAAGTGTGTTTTATTAATAAAAAGTATGTTTCTCTCATACACATAAAAATTCTATGTGCTCCCTTATTGTAACAAAAGCTTTTTAAAGATCAACTGATCCTCAGTTGATAAATATCTTCAGTTGATAAGCGCTATAGTCATTATTCCTCCTGGAAGCATACGGACCAAGCACGTAGTCTTGAGTATACAGCTGGGGTTTATCATGCCAAGACTGTGCTAGGCATTTTCAATATATTTCTACTCCACAACAGCCCTGTGTGATAGCTTGATCACCCTCTGTGTAGGCATAAGGGTCAAAGAGCTTGACCAAGAGATGCTCGGCTAAATGGGGTGGATCAAGCCCAGGCGGCCTGTGCCAACAACCACTCTGGTGACGCTCCACAGGACAGCCAGGGGTGCAGAGCATGACATTAGATGCAACTGAAATGGATTCTCTCACCAGGCATGTCTTTCAGTTTTCCTCCACGTAAGCTATCCTGCCAGTGCCTTTTTGTGCATTTGAAAATCTAAATGGCAACATTTATCTGGATTAAATTAATCTTCTGTTGGCCTATTGCAACCTATCTTGGCACTTGTCAGCTGCTCCTCCCAGTTCTTGTCCCACAGATTTGATAAGCTGCTGTGTCTCCACTCAGCCCTTAACCCATTTATCATTTCCCAAGAAATTCTAAAATGATCTGCCATGTGGCCTGTGATGATAAGGACTTCCGTGACTCTAAGTTAGGCTGCCAGCTCAAATTGTCAGATGCAAATTCAACTCTAGTTTTTTTTTTTTTTTTCATTATTATTATGCTTCTTGCCAAGTGAATTGATTCATGGACTTCATGAGGAGCTCAATTTTTAAAAAGTACGTAACTAAAGTGATAGACAGCAGGACCCTTCTTCCCACATGGGTGTGTGCTTGTAACACACAAGCTTTAGCCATCAAGAGCTCATGTCTTGCCTCTGGAGTCACAATCCTCAAAGAAACGTGCCCAAGAATCACTCGATGGGGCAGGTTAACCATCGAATCCCAGGTTCCCACCCTTAGTGATACTGGTGTCAGCGTGCTGTGAGAAACACCACCCGACTTACGTGCGGCATCTTCTGGGACAAAGCAGAGCCACACAGCTGATGACCGCTTACTGGGCACCTACCAGATGCGTGTTCCAGGCCTTTAAGGTCCTCTCCCAGCAACTTCAGAACCTCACTGCACACAAGTGGTGGTTCCACGGGGTTCGTGGGCAGAGTGCTTACTGGGAGTCTCAAGTGCTTGGGGAAAGCACGTGACAAGACGGGTGGATTTGAAGCTTGCGGGGCATTCTGTAAAGCAGCCTGCCTTTTCCCCCAACCCTCCTCCTCACCCCGAGATCTGATGTTGAGGCACAAGGAGACCATCACAGGAAAGCCAAATCAGACCCAGACTGCAGGGCCCTGAATGCCAGGCAGGAGGCCTTATTAACCCCAGGCCCAAAGGCAGAGAGCCAGCCTTGGAAAGGATGGCCATCCTTCCTTACCACAAAGGCCTTCTCTCCCCTGGCTAGTCCACCATTATACCATACACTCTATAGACTTAATGACTTCTGGAACCTAGCACTGGCACATAACGGACCCAATTTAAAAACTGCATTGCAAGGGAAGAAGTTCAGTCAGACCAATGATTTGGCATTGTACAGAACTTAATTAACCAAACTGGGTTTGCTGACACTACCTGTACCAGGTAAAGGAGTTTTCTTTCTTAAAAGATCATTTGTAACTTTTAAAACCTAGCTTACTGACTTCTGGACACTTTTTTGACAGATTTACTGTGCCACTTTTTTTTTTTTAAGTTATACAAGATTAAGCCAGAGGGCATGTAATAGTCCAAAAGTGCCACGAAAAGAGAGGCATGAACAACATCAAGTGGGTAAGTCACGGGCAAGAGGGATGCATCCAGAGGGGCCTGGGGAGCAGCCTGGTAATTAGAGCAGTCCTCCATGCACTGCTGTGGGGAGAAAGGTGTGTTTGACCCCTTAAGTGAAGTATAAAAGAGGCGGGTGCAGGGGATTGTCATTTGTATTCAGGGCAAAGCCCGTTCCTGAGAGTTGAGCTCCAGTCCTGCCAAATGCCTGGTTTCGTATCAGACACCATAGAGTCAGGATTTCCAAAGCAGTAAAAACACGCTGGACCAAGTGAAGTGTAAAAATAACACAAATACGAAGCTAGGACAGTGAAACTGTCAAAGTATTAAAATGTAAGAGTTCCAGGCTTCAAGATATTGAAAGATATGCTCCTGTGTGCTAGAAAAGACTTATTTACCACATTATCTTTTTTTTTAATAAAGTGATGATTTTGCATCGGTATCAGCCAGTAAAAGCAAGCTACAGTCCTCAAATAGCCTACTTTCCTGTCTGAGCAACAATTAGAAACTTGAAGAGTAAGACCTAAGTGGTGGTTTAGTCGCTAAGTCGTGATTCTTTGCAACCCCATGGACTGCAGCACGCCAGGCTCCCTGTCCTTCACCGTCTCCTGGAGTTTGCTCAAACTCATGTCCATTGAGACCTAAGAAATGTGCCCTATCTTTAAAAAAAATTTTAACCTGAAAAAATAAAGTCCATTCCAGAACCCAGTTTCCTCACTGGCTACTCAGAACCAGGGGCTACAACCAATCTCCCTCAAATGACAGAGCTGGTGTTTCTTATACCTGCAGAGGGACTAGAGTGACAGGCTTTTCTCTCTGCCTGTTTTGATAACACTAATTTAAAACAAAACAAATTAAAAAAAAACAGAAATCCAATAAACCAAATGGAAGCAAAACTCAGGTGCTCACAAACTGGTTCATGATTGGATGACTTGGGAACCATAAAACGGCACTCGAACTTTCCATTTCGAGCTTAAGTCCACACACCACTTAGTCAGAAGGCTTCCTAATGAAGGGATTACTTGCTAAGGTTTGTACGCCTTCTGGCTCTCCCGTCTGCTGCGCTTGGTAACTGCTGATCCTGAATGCCGGCACTTGGCGCTATTGGAGCTTCTCAAGTGCGTGGTAATCGATCCTTCTCCGCCCCGGCTCGCGCGGCTTCCTGCCCTGGCTGCCTCCCATCACTCGGTGCCATCAGCTGCTTCCTGCTTCCACAGTGAGTAGGCAGCGGCTGTTGGCTGCCACCTTCCGATGTCACCATCGTGCCCCTCAAATGGATCTGACGTGATGCCTTCAATTACAGGCATCAATTATGGGCAGGGAGACACACATTCTGTCTGGTTTTCAATGATTCATCTTGCTAGGCACTTATTAAGGGACATTTTACAGCGGAAGTAGCTCCTGGAAGCCTGGCCCTCCTTATCACTTTGCCTTTCAGGATTGTCTCTTCCATTGCCTTCAGCACTTTTCTTTTTAAATGAACTAAAGCCTTGGTTTGAATGTGGGGAGAGGCACAGAGGCTTTCTGCCCATTGTGTGTGGACCCCAGAGCAGGAACTTGTCCCCTGACCTCACCCACTTCCTCCAAGACCTCAGATAAGCCCTCAAAGCTGCTACTGACACACAGATAACACAGCAGCCACTAACGTCCGCTGGGCAAGGGAAGCCCAGTGGGCAGCGCTGGGTTATGAGAGTTCTCATTTCCCAGAGAGAAGAAGGGGAGGAGACTGAGGGACCGCCGGGCTGACAGAGTACGTCAGAGCTAGGTCAGAGCAAGAAAGGAGGGTGGGGTTATGTGGAAACAAGTGACAACTTACTGAGCATTTACTATGTGCAGACATGGGGGTCACACTCCGCTGGGACTCCTTCATTGAATCCTCAAACCACCCTGTGAGGTCAGGGCTAAATCATCTTCCTCTGAGAAAGACAGCTCAGCTCCAGGGCCCTGCGCTACCTCCTGGGTCTTATACAGTCTCCTGGGTGACAGAATCATTTGTAGGTGGTTTTTTCTTTTTTTGGTCAAATAGGGTTGGGAGTAATCTTCATTCAGCCTTAATCAGATTGATAGGGTGGCAACAGAACAAGAGCTATTTTCTGGGATTGCACAGAGAATGTCCTGACCCTGATGGGGGCCAAGGTGCTCTGCCAGGGTCAGACAAAGGTGGCCAGGGAACTCAGATGACCAGGCTTGAAAGCAGGAAGTTCCCTGAGAGAGATGAGAAAGTTGTTCAGAGCTGGGGAGGTGTCAGCAAAAGAGGAAGAGTCAGATGGGTGTGAGTAATTCAAAGATACCTACTTAAATCCTATATAATAAAGGGCACAAGAACAGTGCTCAGTGCTGGATACACTTCTTAAATATACTGAACATATTAATAAATGCCCAAAATGCCCAAAACAAAGACTACATACAACCCAACTTCAGGGTCTGTGTCTGTCTTTAAACCTACTCTTTGGGGAAGGTCATGAAAGGGGCAATTAAGAAATGCCAAAGTCTTAAAACCCATTTCAGTTCAAACATCATGGAGAACTTCTGATGTACTCCGAAGAGCACAGCGCAAGGGAACCTACATCCATTACTAAACACAAAAATACCACCTCCCCCGGCCTTGCTTCTCTCATTCGCTCTTAACCTAAGGCCCTCTTCTTTCAACCAGATGAGTGTCCATCAGCATCGGATGTTTAAAAAAAGTCAGCAGCAGCACCACCAGGTATGAACACTTATTGGAAAGGATAAAATGACTGATGCATTTCAAAATTCAAATTTAGAATTAATAAGTTTGAATTTGTTCAAAAGGGGAACACTTTATATTCAATACTATATCTTGCTTATAGCTAGGATTCTGGTCATGAAATTTTAAACGTTATAAAGATATGCTCACATGTGCCCAAAGGTACATAAAACAATGTTTTTCCATAAGTGTCTGTTACCTACATTAAAACCACCTCCAGACTCTTATGCAATAAAGACTAGGACACTACTACTGAAAACGGTAAGGGTTAAGAGAAAAGCAGATAGGACCAAAAAAGGTTGATCTTAGGAGTGACCACTGGAGGCAAAAAAGTTATGTTCAAGAATCTTTGAAAATTAAATTAATTGTTAATATAAATCTATGTTTATATTTGATTGACAGAAGAGCTATATTGATCGCTAATCTAGGTATGAAAATTATTTTACTCTTCAAATGTATAAACATAATGCTTGACACAGTCAAAGAAGTATCTGCTCTATGTGGTATAAACTAAAAAGGAACTCTTACTATTTATATCTGGGGAGTTCTGTTCAAAAGGAGTAGAAATATATGTTAGAACCAAGCCGTAAGGCACTAGCCAGACCATGCTAAAATGATCAAGAAACACTTAATTGCATCCTAAAATTTTTCTTACCATTTTCTCTTCCTTGGCAGGTGGACTTCGAAGAAAAAAGCAGAGAGGAGCAAAAAGAATATCAATTATTCCAATAATTGTCATGAGCCATGGAAATCCAATTGCCTTTGCGATAGCCCCACCAGCAGAAGGACCTTTCAGGAAACAGAGAATTAGATATAGCTCTCTCTAAATGTCTTGTAGGCAGAAAGATGCAAAGGTTTAAAAAATTTTCAGTAGGCATTATCAGTCGTGCACTGAGAAAAAAAAGTTCTTTTGGAAACCCAATGTCCTTACCTATGGCATATCCCATACAAAACGCTACATCGGCAATGGCATACACGCTCCCATAGACGGACACGTGCCGCAGGTCGACCAGGTAGCCCATGATGGGCATCATGGATGAATCCACCATGCCTGTGGACAGTCAGGGAACACAGTCTACAGAAAACTGATGGAAACCAACAGTGGGCTGAATGTCAGTGACTGTGCCCTAACCTTACAACCCTGCCAAGATTCTTCACTGCTGTCTGCCAAGTCTTGAGGCAAACTCTCTACAACGTACCTTTCACTGAAGACAGACCAAAGGTGCCTGAGGCTGGGACTGGAACTCAGATTACCATTTGCCTGTTCCCTGCCTTGCCTCATCGTGCCCTCCACCGTCTGGGAGACGGCATGCAGTCCTCTAGGGACTTGCCTGCCATTCTGCAGACCCAGAGGGATGCTGGTTACCGGCTGTATGAACCCTGAGCCTGCTTCCTGTGGGTGCTTTCCTGATTCACTATTTTCTGGTCCACATCATCCTCTGCCCTCAAAGAATGGGTACACTACATGCCTCACCCAGCCTCCTCCCCACCCACAGCTTGGCCTCACTCTTAAATTACGAGAGTTAAAGTCAGAAAGCACAGAGAGAATCAGGAGGAACCAGAACAGGAAAGAGTATGAGGGACTGCCCGGCCCTACTCAGGAAACTAAAATCAAAAGAGGTTTGCTCATTTAGTTGGCTAAAACACCAAAAACCATCACCACTGCCAAGACCTGTATTAGAACCTCTGGTCTCTAGAATAGTCAGGGAACAGGAAGCATAAAGAAAGGACACGTGTATTCGGAGTTCTAAATCCAAACCCCTGGCTGGTTGAGCATCATCGTGCCTTATCTCTCTGAACGTCACTCTCCCCATTGATAAAATGGAGATGATAGTGATTGGCTGAATGAGATGATGGCTGTGAACACATCTGGCAGGGCATTCAAATGTCAGATCCCTCACCCACACCCCCACAGAGGCAGAAGGGTAAGGGAGATTTCTTGCATTCAACTAGTATGTGCTGATCACCTGAGATGTGCAAGGTGCTGGGATAACGAACAGAGCAAAGAATTGAAAAATAAATTATGATTGTGAGTGATGCTATGAATGCACTGTGAGAAGCTGTGTGTATGTATACACATATGTATGTGTATGTGTATATGTATATGTATGTACATAAGCTGGGATAACCTAGCCTGGTCTAAGGGGTCAGCAAAGGCTCCATCCTCGCTACTGTACCAAAGATCCAACTTCTGCCTTTACCCTGGACAGATTCACCTTTATCATGATTAATCTGTATATTATAAATGAGAAACAAGCATGTGCTATTTATCTAAAATATGAACAAGATTTTTCCTAACATATTACTTACTGTGCCTCACATTGCTACAAAGACTTGTCCCCTTTGCTTATGAAAATTCCCACAGTACAGCTGGTCATCAATGCATCAGTCAACCTTTTCTGTACCAAAGCTTATTGAAAACTACATGTGAAGCCTTTGTCCCCCAGCCTCATATGAGAAAGTCTGCGCACAGATATGAGCCCAAACAGATGGGTTCTGAGAAGCAGTTCTCCTGTTTGCCCAGGCTCAGCAGTGGAGTGTCGTTTTGCTTCTGTAAATATCAGGCTTTTACAATACTGGTTTTCAGGAAATAAATGACTAGTTCATGAAAGCCAGTATCTGTGGACAATCTACAAACTGTACATGAGCTAAGCTGCCATAGTCTCCTGTCAAGCTTCTAGAAATTTTATTATTGAGTAACTATAAGTCTGCCCAAGTAAGGACTCTTTTTTTGTTGTTGTTTTGTTTTTGCCACACAGTGCAGCATGCAAGATCTTAGTTCCCCAACCAGGAATTGAACTCAAGCCCTTGCTGTAAAAGTGCAGAGTCCTAACCACTGGACTGCCAGGGAAGTTGAGGAACTCTTTCTTGGTACTGGGAAAACAAAGTTTTAAATTTAGGCACAAGGCTCCAGTGACTTACCAATTGCAAAACCAACTCCAAAGTTGGGAGCTATGAGTCCATAGATGTTTTTTGCAAGAGGAATCTGTAAGAGGAAATACATGTTATGCCAAAAGAACATGCTATTCAACTCTGAATTATCATAGGAAGTCTTAAAGAGAGGTTTTCTCTAGCCTGGTATGTGTGTCCCCTTATGGAGGAAGTAGGAGGAGGGGGCAAGATGGGGTTTGGACAAAAGACGACCCTCCAAATCTTTAATAGAGTTGAAATGGGTTTTGTGACCACCACGAAAAGCTAGTTCACTTCCATATGTGAAAGTTCAGCCTAGTCTATACTCCATTTTTTTAATAGTTATTTTTATTTATTTGGCTGCACTGGGTCTTAGTTGCAGCCTGCGGGATCTTTAGCTGCAGCATTCGAACACTTAGTTGCAGCATGTGGGATCTAGTTCCCTGACGAGGGATCAAACCCAGGCCCACTGTACTGGGAGGGCAGAGTCTCAGCCACTGGACCACCAGGGAAGTGCCCATACTCCGTTTTTTAAAATAACAGAAAAAACCAAATCTCATTTGGGGTAGATATTAGCCTTTGGTAGAAGATGTTTTACTCTAGAAAAACATCTTGCTATTGTTTCTGGCTGGTTGCCCTAAAGTGTTCAAGATACTGTAATGTTTTAGGTGCACAGGGAGGGGGAACAAGGTGAAATAAAAACAATGTAATAAAACATTCTAAGTAATTTCCAACTGACACAAAATAAAGATAAACCCTTTGGGGAATCTTGTCCGAAGTTTTTAACATGATAAAAAATGAGAAGAAAAGGGAAGATTAATAAAAATAAGTGTCAACAAACTTCAAACTGCCATATTTGTTGGTAATTCTTGCCCAAAGCAAAAATTTCATTTACAGGTTATTTCCACCTGCCAAATGTCATCTTTTTTTTTTTTCAAATGTCATCTTTTACTCACACATAAAATGCTCATTCCGACAATTATCATTCCTAGAAGAGCACAAAGCCATCTGTCAAAACACAAAAAAGCACATTAAGAAACGATTCTCCCCTCCATCCAGGTTTTCAGTGGAAATCAAAACAGTTATAATAGTGAAGGTAGAAACTTGGGGTTTTTTAAAGTAAGTACGTTACTGTAACAGAGTGAGTGTTGAGTTGTTTCATTTCATCTTACCTCCCCATTTTGTGTGCGAGGATCCCGAAAACATTGGTTCCAATGAGATAAGAGACACTAGCTGGCAAGAAAGCCACGCCTGTAAATTTATGAAAGGGACACCTTATCAGTACAGATATCAGTCACGTGTGAGAAAAACTAATAATGGAGAGGCACCACGCTTGTGATGAGAGCTGAGGAAATGAAGCCCTGCGACCTGCACCCAAGCAGCTAATATCCGGTGTCTGATGGAGCTAGTCTGGACCCCACACGGCTCATCCGTCCACACGAAGCCGCCAGCCGCCACGACACTCCAGAAATGAGATCCCTCCCTCTATCGCGGGCTTCATCTCGCCCCCACCTCTGCCAGGTGGCGGGCTTTACCAGGGGAGGGGGCGGTGACGGGGACAGCTCCCGGCTGTGGAGCTGCCGGCTGCCGCCCCACACAGGCAGTGAGCAGTGCTGGTTATCTGCTCCCAGGTCCCTCCCTTCGTGTCTGTGCAGAGGAACAAAGGCACAGGCACTGACAAAAGTCAGGAACACGGAGATGAGCACAAAGAAAAAACATTAAAATTCTCCCACGTCCCATCACTCAGATAGCCCCACAGTTGTTTTCCCTTGCAAATTCTACATACATACATAAATGTGTAAGCACAGGAGTTCTGTCTTAAAAAAAAAAATTAGTATTATACCTACGGTTCTACATCCTGCTTTTTTTTTTTAGGATTTATTTATTTATTTTTGGCTGTGCTGGGTCTTCAATGCTGGTCAGGCTTTTCCCTAGTTGCAGCAAGTGGGGCCACTCTTCCTTGCAGTGGCTTCTCTTGTTGGGGACCATGGGGTCTGGGCCCACAGGCTTCAGCAGTTGCAGTTCCTGGGCTCTAGGACACAGGCTCAGGAGTGGCACACGGGCTTAGTTGTCCCATGGCCTGTGGGATCCTCCAGGCATCAATCCAGGGATCAAACCTGTGTCTCCTAAAATGACAGGCGGATTCTCTACCACTGAGCCACTGGAGAAGCCCCAACCTGCTTTCAGTTACCTTATGGACATCTGTCCATGCCAGATAAATAAGTAAATAAATATGTGGTCATTTTTTTGTGGCCAAATCCTATGTGACTGACAGTTTCATGGTTTCCCAGGAGAGGAACTTTGCAAGCCCCAAGCTGTTCACAGCTGACGAGGGCAAGGGTTGCCTTGAATGTACCTCTGCCTGGACTAGGAAAGCCTACTCAAGCCAGCCCACGCTTGGTGGCCAGGGCATTTGTCCACATCAGCTCCATCTGGTCTCCATCCATCATTAGGACAATAGGACAACCTCTTTTCCAAAGATGGCTTTTCAAACTTTTAACACTTCTGGTGTTTTCCCTTGAAATCCAGAAATACCAGGTTGGTTCCTAAGCCTTGCCCACAAGAGGTAAACGTTGCTTTGTTCCCAGTCATCTGACTGCATAAATTAGATATGCAGAGGGATACCAGATGGTGAGCAGGCCCCCACTCACTCCAAAGGCCCAGGGCCAGAGCCCTTCTCGTACAGGCAGCTCACCAGCACACGAGCAGCAAGTGTGATCTTAACCTCTCCAAAGACACACTGGCTTCCACTGATTCCCCCACAGGCACTAACTAACACGAGCCATCAAACTCTCAGATACACAGTGTTGAAGGGAATCAGAAAAGAGGGTATATGTAAACACACAGCAGACTGCACTTTGCTGTAAGTAGAAAGTAAAACAACACTGTAAAGCAACTGTGATCCAATAAAAATTAATTAAAAAAAAAAATCTCCAGAAAGGCCGAGCTTCCCAGAACAGAAGGGACTTCAATAAGTGATTGCTTACGGGAGCTAAATCTAAAACCATATCATTCTAGATTTGATAATCTGGAAAATAACAATTAAATGCAATCTCATTTCGCGTTCCAGGAAACCATTTCCATCACACTTAGCAACATACAGTGGCCACATAATTGCTGGGGGCGACAGGACACAGCAAACATCACCGACAGCTCATGCCCAGCTCCGTGCTGGGCTGCGGCAAAGACAATGGCCACAACGTGGTCCTGGTCACCATGAGAGCCTCTTCAGAGGATCAGAGGACATCTGAACTACGACATGGCTGAGCTGGGGCCGCACACAGGTGCCAGTGCCGTGCTCTGGGAACCAGAGTCTGCAGCTGCAAAGCTCCCCAAAGCAGCCAGTGTTTAAACCTGACCCTGGACGGGGCATAGCAGAGAGCTAAATTAGTCTGGAGATGTAAGAAATCATGAGGGCCTTTGTCTGAGGATGAGTGTCAGGGAGGCATTAATGAATGAAGCACGCAAACTATCAGAAAAGCCGCAGCATGGCTACTGTGATAAAGAGCTGCTGGCATTCAGCTTCAGCACCAGAGACACAAAAGGAAAGCAGAGGGGGAGACCCCAGACCCGCCTAAGGACGCAGCTGCCATTCTGCCCAGACAATGACTGCCCTGGGGGACTGAAATCCCAAATGAGATGATCTGGTTTTTCTAGAAAAGTTGGAACTCCAGATTCATACATGAAGTCTCCTGATTTTTACACGTTGGCAATTCGTATTTTAAAAACATAAACCTCATGCCAACACCTGTGCCAGCCAAGCAAAACATACTTCTAGACTGAATTTGGCCCAGAACTTGAGCAGAGGTTGGAGAAAGTGGTTGGTACAGCATCTGGCCAGAATGGCTTGCTGGTGACTCCTGACTCCCCAGGTGAAACATGGGAAGCATCTCTGAAGCTGAAACTTCAAAGCAGGGATGCAGACAAGCTCAGGGAACACCCCAGATGAGCTACATCTTCCCAAGCAAACCAGCTGGGATACTGAGCACATAGGCGTAACCGGGGAGCCGGCACACATTATTTTCCAGCAAATAGAGCTGACCCTTGATCAATATGAGTTTGAACTGCTCAGATTCATTTGCATGTAGATTTTTTTCAGTAGTAAATACTACAGTTCTACATGTCCCACGGTTGGGTGAATCCACACATGTGGAACCACAGACACCAAGGCAACTATAAATTATAGCGAATTTCCAACCGTGTGGAGGGTCAGTGCTTCTAATCCCCCAGTTGTTCAAGGGTCAGCAGTACTCTCAGATGGCAAACACCAACTTCATGATTCTCTGGTAAGAAGCACAGAATTAGGAGGCAGGCAACAAGGTGTTCATTTCAGCTGGGAATTTACCAGCTGAGGCTTGAATGGGTCACTTGAACCTCGAGACAGAGAGATGGCAACAGCTCCCACTGCACACACCTCACAGAGAGGCTTTGAAGGTCATGTGGCCAAGTGAGCACCAAGGGCCTTGGCACCTGCCCTCCCAGCCTGATCCCTGTGCCCTGTCACTCCACACTCACCCCACCTGACCCACCATTCACCCTGGCACGCTGACCTTCCCCACACTGCGGTAAGCTTCTGTGGGCAGGGACCACTTCATCTGTCTCCCTGTAGCCTTGCTCCATGGCGGCACACAGGAGGTGCCCAGAACCATCTGACCATTTAGAGCAAAGACCCAGAGCCAGGACATTCACTTAACAGAGCTAAACGCCGTCCCTCGAAGGTGCCCCCACTGGTCCAGCCACCTGCCCCATGGGGAAACTGGCCGGGTACATGTTTAGGAGCCCAGAAGCCCCCTTCTCCCTCCAAGGCGGACAGGGCCACATGTTCTTTGGACCTCAGGCTCCAAACTCCCGATTCATGTTCTGACACAGCCTCTGCATCCTCTGCCTTCCAGGACCTCCACTGCCTACACCATCGATGGAACCCGCCTCTCGTAACTCAAAGAGACCTCAGTGGGCCTCAGGGAGGAACCGCTCCAGTGTTCCAACAGGGAGTCATCCATCTCTGCCAGACCCGGGGCTGGCAACCTACTACTTTTCCAGACAGCCTTTCAGGGGCACCTCCTAGGACAGGGTGGGCATCCTGACACCAAGCCCTAAGCCTTCCGTCATCTCCACCCACCAGCCCCGGTTCACATTCCAGAGCCAAGAGCAGCGGGCTTCAACACCCAACTCATGAGACCCTAGACCAGGAGGGGCAGAGCTTCCAGGCCCCCGGGAACGAGCTGTGCAGCCTCCTGGCAGTGGCTCCTCACCTCGGGGACAGGCCCATCAGGGGGGCTCCTCACCTGGCTGGGGGGGCCCAAGGGGCTCGGGAGAGGTGGGCGGCAAGGTGCCAAGGGCCCACATGGTGGGGGATGGGGGGAATTTTCCCCCACACTGCAGATGACACTGCAAATGGGAACAGAAATCTGATTCTCTGAAGGAAACACAAGTCTAGCTCTGAGGCAAAGAAGGAGCCAGGTCACTGGTGGAAAGGTATGGGGCTGGGGGACCATCTGGCTGGAGAGATAAGCCCTGCAAGAGGTCCTTCCTGATGAAATCTAGGCAGCCTGTGGCCGGCTATCTAACCCGGATGGCCTGGGTCCCTGACTGACATGAAAGACTTGATGGTGTTTACGTGTCTGGAGAGGAAGAGGGCCAAGCCACTGAAGAGCCCTGCGTATGGCCAGGACACGGTCAATTAGAGCGATAAGTCAGTTAATTGGAGAAAACAGAAACACCAGAGCAGCATCTCTGCCCAGGAGCACGTGCAAAGCCAACACGTAGCTCCACTCACAGCCACACACCCCCGCAACACACAGGGCACCGCCTGAGGACACCTGGAGGCCCCAGTCAGCACAGGCCAGAGGGAAAGAGCCCGAGGAAAAAACCCCCCTTGGCATCATCCGCTGGTATTAGCACTGAGACAGAAGCAGGGCTCATCCTTTGCAAAACCACTATTCGCTAACTTAAGGACCGAAGTCCACGCCTCCTGAGAAGCGCCTTAGGACCCTGGAGAGCTTCCACAGTTCCTCTGCCATCTCCATAGCCAGGAAGTTCAAAGTGAGATTTCTGCTGAGAACTGGCCTTAGTTGAGCTCCCAGAATCTTTCCTCCTTCACTGACTGACTCCTGCTGTTGAGCGTTTGGTTTTGTTTTTGTTTTGTGGCATAATCCACAGACCAGACAATTCTATGTACCCTTTTAAAATACACAGTTCACTGGTTTTTAGTATATCCAATGGGCTGTGAAACCAGCATTATGATTTAATTT